TTCTAGCTGTAACGACGACTTCTTAACGCGAGAACGCGATCCACGCGGCTGGATTTTTTTTTTTTTAATGTAAAGAAAAGGTGGATTAAAGAGCGGCCGAAATATCCGAAGCGACGTACGAGCAACAGCGAAACTGTGTTGCCTCGGCTTGTGTTTTCTGTCGCGGTTAACGGGCGCTCGAGTTTGCGAAATTTCTCTCCTCTTTCCGAATTGTTCCCAGTCTCTTAAGTTGTATCGTGAAAAAGTATAATTATTTCAGCGAACGACATAAATGTAAAGGAGAATTCCGTGTTTATGTAACACAGCAACTGTTTCGTTCGTATGTTTTTTTGTTAATACCATTCAATCTCAATTTCGTCGTTCTCGTATAATACGTGAACTGACTCGTACAAACTTCTCCCTTTGCCATATTCATGTGTTTGTATATTTCAATACTTTTGATCAGTTTTATAATTTTATTCAGTCGTTGTTTTTTTAAATAATACCCTGATAATACCCTAATAATTAATTTCTAATTTCTAAAATAATTTCTGAGCTGGAATGACGCGCACGTCGAGGATTTTTGCAATATTTCCTTCTCAATTTCAAGTATATTTAAGTATAACCTAGGCGAAAAAAAAAAAAAAAAAAATAAATGTATTACTTCTCAGTAACTTCTATCCGGTGATATCATACCGACGAGTTCAAGAAGAAAGCGACGAATTACTGTATACGGTTTGGTCACTCGTTATGGTCCGCAATCAGTTGCCAGCGCAAGTGGTTAACAACAGCCTTCTGAATAATAGTTTTCCTAAACAATATCCTAAAGATATTTGGCCGGTAAGGAAAGGAAACGATTAAATGCAACAAATAGTAGCGAAGATGGACAATCACGATTGACGTATGTACGAATATTGCGCCAGTCAAAGGGTCAAGGATCGAGTTTCGAAGCTTCGAAGACCTTCTCTTCGATCATCTTCTCCGCTTGAATTTTAATCAAGATCGCGACGCGGGGCGTGGATGGAAGGTAGCCCGTCAACCAATCATCCAATGAATGCAATTCCCGAGCGTGCGCGCGTTTATTTTATTAATTTTAATCGCAGCGGGGTAAATGTTGAATTACTCGCGCGGCCATGACTGGTTGTACCGTAAATAACGGCAGGTGAGACGAGCGCGATGAAACGAGGGTTACGGTGCTGAAGGCACCGTCCCAGACGACGGAAGGGATCTTTTCACTCCGGGGATTTATCGTTATTTATTATGCGTGAAACGCGCGCGAGACGCTCTCGCAACGGGCACAGCTTTTTCCCCGTAGGTGCTGCCAGACTCCGCGTTGGAAAGTTATTCCAACGTCGGGCCATAAAAACGCGAAGGAAGAGGACGCGAGGAGGACGCGGGTCGGCTCCGGCCACGGAGTTAGCGAATGATCCATTTTTCTTCACTTCGCGAATTTATGGTGCATTTACGCGGCCGAGACTTGGCGAATAAATCCACCTGGATGCCTCGGGTAAGTACGCGCGAGCTACGCGAAACGTCGCTGATCCACGAGCACAATGCCTCCTCGACGTGTAAACAGAATTTCGCGTCCGATGCTCGGATTGCGCGCGAGATCACCGCAAGCTCGAAACGTCAGCCGTGAGGTTTTATTTTTCGAAGGGTCGGAAGGTTTCTGGCGAGGTGTTTGAAAGTTCTTTCTCGACCATTCGTATTTAAAATAATTAGTTTTTAGTAATTTAAAATAATTAGTTTTCTTGTTTCTCGAAGGATCATATGTTCAAAGACGAGAGCACTCTTAATTTGTTGTACGTTTCTCATTTGGTATTAAACTTTTCAACTTTTGGTCATTTTTCTGAGCACTCAAAGGGTTGACCGCTTTTGTTACGATTTTCTTTTCAATTTTCTCTAGGTAAATATTTAGTTTAGTAAACATTTGCTTTATACGAAGTATAAATAAGTGACGTACAGGGCGATTCACGTAATTTTCAAACAGTCTATATTATAACTAAGTTATACATAACTATATTATACTTAGAAGTTACATATATATTAGTTATAATATTATGATTAATGTTATGAAGTTATTGATAAGTAATAACTACATTAGGCTGAATCAATATAAATTATATTAAATTATATTCGATTATATGTTAAATTGTATTCGATTTATACGTGATATAAATTATATCAGGCTGAAGTTTGTATTTATTAATTTTCAATTTCTGAAGAATCGAAAAGAGAATTCGAATTCGAATTTCTATAATTCGCACTCGTGTTTGCCAAGACAACTGGTCAATTCAATTTGTCTCTCCTCCTCTCCGCTTCTTATTTTCTCGATTCGATTTCTCCGATTACTCTTTCAACAAGTAAAGTGTGCAGAATTATTAGTTTAGAAAACAACCTACCTAACCCCATCGTCAGCTCTCCCTTGTATACACCCGTCCCATATCCAGTTCACGTTAATCCTATTCTTCAGCTACGATTGCTTGGAATTGAATTTAGGACGGGTCTCGAATTCGCTGGTCGGTGTACGTAGCATACGTGTAGCAGGTGTACGTGAGGGAAAATCGAGGACTTCTCCGAGACGGTCATCGCATCGCTAATGGAAAAATGGATAAAAACACAGAGCTTTGCAGAGAATCTACGAGGTGTTAACACATTGACAATCGTGTCAATGTAAAATTTAAAATTTTTTACTCGCGGCTGCAAATGTTTTGAACTGAGAATTTTAAAATCTAAATTCTATTTAAATTTAATTAAAGTAATTAAATCAAATTAAATTAAGTTTAAATTGAGTTTAATTAAATTTTTGTTATCTACGACAGGTAGTTTTATAGCAGTTTCTCAGTAAAAGTGACTCCTGTAAAAATTTTTGTATTCTCTTCTCAGACACACGATAGAGCTACAATTCTCTCGAATTTTTGTAATATTTAAAAAATTTTTTTTACTATAATTTTTGCTATATTATATTGTTGAAAATTACACACACATTACGTTTTGTATCCAGTAAATTATCGAGGGAAACAGATTTCGTCAGCGTGCTATTTGCTCCCGTGTGCCAATATTTTTCTATCCATCCGCCGTGTATTAAAAGACTCTCGAGCGACCCTGCAGAACTTGAAAAATTCCTACAGAGTCTGTCCCGAAAGAGTCCTCTAGTCTGTCAACAGGTTAAAAATAAAAAAGGCAGTCGCAGAGACACGTAAGAGGTACCTGTACACAGAGCGCGGCAGATACGGCAGGCGAGGAAATAGTAATCTTGCAGGAAGTTGGCGGTTAGGCGTGAATTATTCCGGCGGTCGTCGGCGTCGATCGAGCCTCGTCGTCGTCGTCGTCGTCGTCGTCGTCGCGTAGCTGCTGGAAAATCCTCGAAAGCGCGATGGTGAGTGGGAGGGCAAAGGGGTGCAGCAACGCTGAGCCAGCGTTTCGATGAGGGCACGGAATAATTCAAAGGTAAATGAAGCGCTTTCTCCACGGTTCGTGCGCCTCGCTCGGGGAAAATACGACGCTGGCAATCGCCGAGATTTATCTGCCCTCGGCGAAATACCATCCCGTTTAGTCCCGGTGACTTAATAAATTCGGAATGGCTCGCTCGATGTACCTATTACGGCCTTGTCCTCGATGGACGTTTTCCTTGATTGTTCGACGACTTTCCTCGGTGGTGTTCTCCCCGATGTAGCATGAATTACGGATTCAGCCGATAGTTTGTGCTTTGTCGAATCAAACATTAAACGTGGAAACGCAAAATGTGCAAAATGCGTTACTCGACATCACTTTTTTTTCACTTTTGTTACCCCGGGCACGGGATTGGTGTTCAACTTCTTGAAAAGATAATTAACTTCAATTATATAATGTTGTATTTGTTACAAGCAGATGACATTGTAAATAATAATTATATTTTTTTATTTTTCGACTGAGAAATGTAGCTTCTGCTAACATTCAAGTTACATCTCTGTCTTGGAGTCTTTGTTGTTGAAATTCATTGAAGAATTAATCGATTCGTCGCGTTGTAAAATTTGCTACAATTAGACGGTGGATGCCAATGCGTTTCCAGGAAACTCCACCATGTGAGGTCAAAAAGATCACACATAGTGTATAAAAGTATTAGTATAAGATAAAATGTTTATTACAGTACAATGTTTAATGAGTGGAACAAATAAATATCTGTTTAAGATTTATTGCATTTCTTCAATAATATTTATAAAGATCTGAGTTTGTAATTATCTGTTAATTATAACTGTTTGATCTAACTGTTTTATAAAAATCTGCCAATCTAATTATAACATATTAAATGTATCAAACAATTATTACAAAAAAAAAATAAAGTTGAGGAAACTTCACCTCGTTGATAAACTACATTTCATCGATATTTCCTCGTATGAACTTGTCCTTGATAAAAATATTATAGTTTATATAATTCATACAATAGAATTCCAGTGATTCTCCCTCTTACTGGTGATTTTTTTCGTTCGTATAAAATGAGTTCGAGTTTCAATAAATGGATTCACTCATCAGCAGTTCGTTTAATCAGATAACTAGACTTTGGTTCAAATACAATAGAACTCTGCTTGTATAAACCTGTCAGGGGGGTGGGGTGGGACGAATAGTTTCATATAATCAAGAGTTGACATATTAAGATTCTATCGATTCTCTATGATAATGATTTTTCATTAAATTTCGTTCGATCTCACATGAAACGAGTCCACGTTCCGCATAAGCTGATTCAACCAGCAAGAATTCATTTAATGAAACTTGCTTCAGAATGGAGCTTCTCAACTCGCGTGTTTCTCAAAGCGAATCACAGCGGCGAAAGAAATTCCATTTTCTCGGCGCTTTCGACGCCAAGTTGCGTCGCTCTCCGAAGTCGTCAAAAAATGGAATGGCGCGCATCTTGAACCGGTGGCGGAAGGCCGAGGAATTCCTTCTGAATGTGTTTTCTTCGGCGGCGTTCATTTGTTTCATCCCCTCTCGAGTACGAGTAAGCCCCCTCTCTCTGACTGTGTCGATACTTTTCTGCATTTCAGGGAGATGCGGCCACGGGTCGCCGTGCGAGCAACTCTGCTACGAACTTCACGATGGGATGTACGAGTGCGATTGCAAGGACGGCTACATTCTTCATAAAAATGGATACAGCTGCGCCGGTGAGTTGATTCCGAAACTTACCCTCTTGGTTATATCCTTCTTCGCGATTCTCGCGCATCGTCCTCCCCCGATTTCCCCGTAGACGAATCTGTTTATTCGATTCCTCGACTTCCGCGAACTTCGCCCTCGCCAACTCTCTATGAAATTGCTTCCTCCCCCTCACCCCTCTTTCCCCGTAACTTGCTCGCGGACCTCGCGATTCCAGGGGAAATTTAGGGCGGTGATTCCAGGAGAGAAATCTGTCTCTTTTCCCCGTCAGGTCGACGTGTCTCGTCTCTTTTCTGACGATTCATTAGAAAAATGAAATCGGCGTTTCATTCGGGCCAACTTGCGTGGATTTCAAGTTCGAGTCTCTTGTGAGAGAGTTCAGTGTGATTAAATTTTATTTCTTCAGATAATGGTTGTATTGCTTAAAAGTATAAATCTTCTGACGTGTATGCCAACATATATCTGCGAGAAATTATCATTTGTCATATCATTTATTCGCGATGTAAGAAATACAAGAAATGACATCTCGTATACGATGAATAAAATTTAACTTTGTTGACTGTGCATGAAATGTATTTGCTATCATTGGATAAATTACTCGATATCGTAACAATAATTTCGAAGAAGCAATGCGTCCTCCTCTCAAGAACAAACCTTTAATCTATTATTAAAGTATCACTCCTCCAAATACTTCAAATATCATAATCATATGTTCTAATACTTATCGATATATATTTCGAAGGGAATATTTCCTCGTCTAAATATATCAAGAAAATTGTTCAAGTAACATACCATTGAACAACTTATTTTATATTTATTTCTAAATTATTATTATATACGTCCAAATTATTTTATATATTCGAAGGAATCGGTGCACCTTCTTTTCATCAGAAAAGAAACTCAAGTGAGAAATAAATTCAATCACCATTCCCATCTTTTTATCAAATACTTTTGAGTGTCTTATATCATCCAAGTAAAATTCTTTTTTTCAAAACCAAAATTCCTCGTCTCAGGCCTCACATAATCAGTATCCACGTGACGCAGCATGTTGCGCGAAACGCTTGGGGTAAAAATCACGTGTCGCGACGTCTCGTTTCAAAGATGACAGACTGCTTTTTTGCGCTCTCAGTTCTTTCGTATCAGGATCCACTTGGCTGCAGGCGTATCGAACGAGTGAAAAAGAGATTTTAGGCTGGGATCAGGTCCGTTAGGGCGCGATAAACGCACGAGACGACGTTCAATTTCGACGCGAGTCGTCTCGAGACACTCTACTCGGGTTTCACTTCTTTTTTTTCTCTTTTTTTCTCACTTAGCCCAGCCGATGGCTAGAATTCAATCTTGCTCATGGACCCGACGATCCTGTCAAAATCACAAAATCACCGTGTTTTTCCGACTTCTATAGTCGATCTTGGTATAAACTCTCGCACGTCAGTCGTGATGCAAGCTTGGAACGTCAAAGTGTAAGTTATCGTAGAGGCAGAGAGACGATTTGATAGAACGAAACTAGCAGATTGCGAATTTTTATGCAAATCTGTATTTTTCGAAATGTAATTAAGAGAATAAAACTTGGCAGGGAATTAAATGTTATGGAAAGCACTGTACTTTATGTTTTGTGTCATGTATTTATATTTTATGTGTTTTTTCATATTATCAGCAATATTTTTTGCAACATTGTACATTATCATCCTTGCAGTTTTAAACTTGAAAATTTTGCTATAAATACATATCAATTCGTAAATCTATTAATTACGTGTTGATTAAATTTAAAGGAAATGTTACTTTTTGTTTCTCTGAAGAGAGATAGAAGCTTTTTGTTTCTTTGAAGAAAGATAGAAGCTTCCATTTATCGTGATTTTGTGTTAAAATAATTTGCCTAAAACGCGCGTGCAATGTTTCAAAGTCAAGAATTTTATGGAAATGATTAACGCATTAATAATATAACGGGAAAAGATGAGCAGAGGTGCTTTGAAGTTCCTTCAAAAGAAATTGAACGAAATAGCTGGAACACGTGAAATTAAAAAGCAGGAGAATTAACGTATTTCAGAAGGAAGTATTTCACTTCATATAGAACATAAAGTGTCAGGTTTCACGTTAAAATATAATTATAAAACGACTATTAAAATAAATTATCGAGAATTTCCTTTTTTTTTTATGTCATCGTTTATCACTGTAAAATTATAATTTTCATCAATAGCTTATCTTTTAACACGAGCACAATGAACGTGGCATGATATATATTCAAAGAAACTTAGAGATAACATCCCCAATGGTAATAATAATAGTTTGAAATATAATGGGAATATATTATAGTAAACGTGCAGAATTAATTTTATTACAAAGAACTTTATTTCCATTTCTTTTATATAATATCAGCGATATATAATATTTTTCGTTCTCTGAAGTACTACAAATGATAAAAGATGGCTTTTTATTTCGAGTAATAATTAGAAACAAAAATTTTTATAAAGTTCCCGTTGACTTGAACAAGATTTTGAACATGATCCAAGTTGGCTTAACTTTTGTTGAAGATGTCGATATCTCTAGTGCCATTTAATACTACTTAAAGGTTCTCGTGATTGCTAATAATCCAGTAGAGGTTGATGCAACTTGAAAAATTCAGTTAAGAGGAGAAAATTCGTCAGAAAATTCATCGAAACCATTTGCGTCAAATTCCCGGTGACAACGGTTAGTATTTCCGTAAATAGGGGCCGATTTTCGTGATTTCTTGCGGAAACAAAATTCTCTCGTGAAAATTCTTCGCTTGGCCCGATAAAAGAACAACTTCATCTCCGTAATTTCTTCCCGCACGAAGCAAGACGTTGCACGAAAAAACGCTCGACACCATCGTCGAAGCACGGAATATCTTCTTATCGGGGAAACGGAGTCGAAAGCACGTACTCCGTGAACGCTCTAATAATTCATCGTCTCATCTGGCGGTCCTTTTTGGTCAAGCACCGGCAAGAAAATCGTCGGCTAGAATTATACTTCCGCCGTTATTAATAATAACTGTTACAATAGCTCTGTTAGTTACAGCGCAGTTTTCAACGAACGTCATGGCTCGTTACGCGACACTCTCGCGATCTTGCTGCCGGCGCGTTTCCTCGTTCTCTCAAAGTAAATCGCAAATGATCCTGTTAAACAGCCGTGTTAAACGTTCAGTTATTTACTTTAATTGCGTTACATACGGATAATCGTTTTAGAATGGCTTGGCCAATTTGAGTACATCCGGTCTGTGAATGAAATTAGACGATGAAGTTGAGTTGCTTGATATTAATCATTGGACGAAGACCACTATCGTTTGAGCGTAAAAGGAGAGAAAATTAATAACGTATCAAATTGTTGATCGCTGTGCGTTCAATTGTAAAACAAATACACAGTTGTTCAATCGTTAATGTTTATTTATTCGAATATTTTTTTCAACGAATTCAACTCACCGGCGAGAAAAATCCTGCAACTGGGAATATTAAAAAGAAATTTAATGTTTTAGAGTAATACATTCTTCGAAGAAAATCTTGACTTTTCAATTACAATGACTAACAGAAATTTATGAAATTGTCTTTTCTGCCATCGTATTTTAGTGATGGAAAATTTCCCAAGAACTCCAAGAAATATCTATAAATGTATATATCTATAATATGTATAACTTTGCAACAATATCATTTCCAACTCAACTGTTGCGAAATCGCGTATAGAGAGGCGAAACAAAATTTCCTTGAAAATCCTTGAAATTATTACGAAATATCGTCAATTCTCGTTTTTAAATTAATTGTTAGACACATCTTATGGACGAGCATAAAGTTTCGTTCATCAGCGTCACGCGAGCCACCTGGTTTTAAGCAGAGTTGTCGAATTGTTCTTCGAATTCTTGTTCAAAGAACTCTCGTTCTTCGTTCCGCGAATCGAATTATCACGTACCTGTCGGAGAAAACGTGAATCAAAGGGGAGCGCAAACTTGGATGGAGGGTTGTTCGCGCGTTAAATTGTGCATGGAGGTTTGCATCGGGGCCGTTTTGCGCGTGGTTGAAAGATTGCAGGGGTTGGTTGGTGAGTGCGAGGCCCGCCTCGATGCGCCCTCGACCTCGGTCTGCAACTCGACGGAAGTAGTTATACCCGGTTCCGTGGGAGAACGTCGTCGCAGGATCCTTGATAGAAAGGTCTCGTGCTCGTTCGAATCGAAAACGAACGTCTACCACACAGGGAAGTTCGTCTAAGTCCGAGGCGAGTTCAACAGTTTGGAAATAAGTAAGCGAGTTTCTCTGCAGGGCCAACACACGGAGAGAGTCCGCGATTGGAAAATGTTTCGTTTCTGAGTGTACGTATATAGAGTGCACGGCGAGTGCATTCTAACTGTTGGAAACGGTGGCTTGTCTTGGCCACCGTTTGCAGGTTAATCGGGTGAACGTAAAATGTTTGGAATTGCAGGGCGCTTTGAACGACAGATGGTATTTTCCCGACCGGGTGTGTTTCGGCAGGAAATTTTTGGCACTGCGTGGTTTTTAATCATCTCCGAGCAGTTTTGTTTGAAGCTTCAGAGGACCAAGTTTTCATTTAATTCGATGTAAAATTATCCACGAACACAATGTAACAAGGTAGTAATTTAAATATCAGATACGACTTGATTCTTTTGACGCTTATTTTCTTATACTTACAAGAAACTTCCTCGTTTTTTAATTGCTCAATATGAGACTATCGTTCTTCTCGCATACAGCCAAATTTCAGAGTAATATCATGGATACTAAATCTTTACATAAATTAGCCTTCGTTTGATACTAGAATATCAGTTTCTAATGTAACTACGTATTCAGTTCAATTCTCAGTTTACTCTAATTGTACCTTGCTTTTCACATATCGTCCCTGTTTCGCTTTATTTTAATCTACGAGAAAGAACAAAACTTCAACCACTCTGCTCTTTGACATGAAAAATACACGTGCACGTTAACGTATCCGACCGAGTATGTACATAAAAAAAAATATATAGCTTGAAAATTCACAGGCACACCAGCTTGTCATA